GGCTGCAGGTCGAATGCTATCTACAAGGTTCACCGTGCGCAAGATCATAGATATCGACCTCGACAAACTATTCTGCACAAGCATAGTGATTGTGTTTCGGCGCTAAACGGACGGGAACCTGGTACCTGCTGGCTGAGGATGAGACACAGCGTCAGGGATAGCTCGAGTAAAACGAGACGATGGAAAAGCACCGTGCTTGAGGCAGCGAGGATGCCGGTCCGAGGGCGAAACGGAGCATTGGAAGTAGTTCACGATGGGAAGTAGGTAGTATCTCAAGACCGAAAACTACCCTCACGGAGCGCCAGAGGAGTGCCGGGGCAAAGAGCTAGTGACTTTGATATTCACCTGGTTCCTCTCCATCCCTGCCATCGCAATTATGTCACACTGCATATGGCTCGGCCGGAGATACCATCTCAATGTAAGAAAATTTCAGTTTTTTTTTTATAGAGAATTAGCTCCCAGACAGCTCTAGACGCATCTTAGCAGAGCTTCGGCTACAGCAGGCTCTCAAACAGCTGGAGAAGCCCTAAAAAGATACGATGTCTCTGACCCAGCGCCCCGCTAGCCAGACTCACCACCAAGCGGCATCCATCGCCACCCGCCCTCTGGACCGGCACCGTGACGGGCTCGAATTCGACAACAAAGCAAAACCGAAATGGGCTGTTCTTGGAAGAAAGGAAAAAAGATTCGAAATACGAGCGCGCAAAGGCCGTTTGTTTGTCGACTGAGTCTCTTCTTGCGATCAGATGCAAAGAAACACCGCTACGTCATAGGCCTCGACTCCACCGCCGCGGCCATCTCCGTCTGCTGTCTTCAAGGCGACGACGGTTGATTTTTTTATATCTTTTCCTCTCCCTTAGCGCATCAAAAAAGCAAGATTCCCCGTCGCGAACCGCGGAGGTCTCTCGCTTGTTCTGCCCTTTTTTCCCTTTCTTCGTCTCTGGTTCCGAGCGCGTATGTTTGTTCTAGGTTCATAAATGAAAACGAGGAAACATACTCCCACCCTGGAATAATGCGCAATACGCTAAACTGAGAACAAAGCATGGAGGGAGGAAGATCACCTGTGCCGGGGCCTGGAAGCAGACAGGACACGGGCCAATTGCAGCCAAACCGGCGGAGAGCCTATAGCACGAGGGAGAGCGATGGCCAGGATGCATCCAGCGAAGTATCGGCTCGATTTGGGTTGAGTTTCGACGGAGCTGGGAGCTTGAAAGGGATGACGGGCCAGCGCCGGGCGTCGGTGAGTGAGAGGACGCCGGCAAGGTCGTTTTATCACCGGGCGTTTCATGGGCCGTTGGGTGAGATTTTTACTTGTCGTGGATACAGAGTGTTTTCTTCGCAATCGATACAAGATGGGTGGCTAACATTTAGACATCTTTGTCTTTATATTCTACAGAAGACGGCCAATATTCGTTCCAAGGTGTGCGAGAACAAACCGCTGAACTGGAGTCGCGGGCCCTATCAGATGCCGAATCGGTACACAGCGTCAGAACCTCGTTGTCTGTGCCTCGTGGCGATGTCTCGTCGTCGTCGCTGGATCAAAGGGTGGCAGAGGCCTTTGGGAATAGAGGACGATCAAACAGCCATCTTGTTGCGCCGGATGTGATTGTCGAAGAGGAGTCTGATTCTGACACGCCGAGAGCGGGTTCGGCGCATTCGGGAGGTTCTGCGTTGACCGCTTTGCTGCTTGATGCACCAGCAGGCCAGCGACGGATAGGGTCCAATCTACCTAGAGATGATCTTAGTGGGGAAGCACGCTCTAGCATCTCAGGAGAACATGCTGCACACGTCGAGGGAGAGGAGGATGCTGCGGAGGAGACGCCGCTCATGCGACAACAATCCAAGTCCACAAGCATTCGTGGCTATGGTACCTCTGACGATATAGAAAACCATTCCCTTCTTCTTCCAACCTCGACGCCGCCATGGGACGCAAAGCATCCCTCGCAAAAACCGCAAATCCCCTGGAAAACTTTGTGCAATCCAAGGAAATGGAATCGGCGGACCATATTTCAAAAAGGCATTGTCTACCCCGCCAGTCTCCTCCCAGCAGTCCTCTTAGGACTTCTCCTAAACATTCTCGATGCCCTGTCTTACGGGATGATCCTATTCCCACTCGGGGAACCGCTTTTCAGCGATTTAGGCGCCGACGGCATATCCATGTTCTACGTCAGTACCATCATCTCCCAACTTGTCTTTTCCTGCGGCGGCTCAGTGTTCAAAGGCGGCATCGGGTCTGAAATGATCGAAGTCGTGCCCTTCTTCCACAAGATGGCCCTCACGATCCTCGCCAGAGTGGGAGAAGATAAAATGGATTCTGTCCTTGCAACGACGATACTGGCTTACGCGTGTAGCTCAGTCCTTACAGGAACCGTTTTCTTCGTTATGGGCGCTAGCGGGCTTGGGTCTTTTATCGGGTTCTTTCCTCGACATATTCTGATCGGATGCATTGGCGGCGTTGGCTGGTTTTTGATTGCGACTGGAGTTGAGGTTTCTGCGCGCCTGTCAGGAAATTTCAAGTATGATTTGGATACGCTGGAGAGACTCTTTCAGCTGGATACGTTCTTCCTCTGGACGACGCCTCTTCTCGTTGCGATCGGTCTGCTTGTTCTAAAGCGATATATCAAGTCGAATTTTCTTGTGGGAGGGTATTTTGTTTTCATTGCAGGCTTGTTTTACTTCTTTAAGCTTGTCATTGGTATTCCCCTGACGACATTGCGAGCGGAAGGATGGGTGTTTGATCCCCCGGCGTCGGAGAACCCTTGGTATCATTTCTATACCCTGTACAGTGAGTTCCGCGCGCCCTCTTTCGGATCCTCTGAATGCATAATCCTGACCCTTTTCAGATTTTTCCGCTGTCAATTGGTCGGCCCTCGCCGATACTGTTCCGGCTATGTTTGCCCTAACCTTTTTTGGCATCCTTCATGTTCCGATTAACGTTCCGGCACTGGGTATTTCCACCGGGGAAGACAATCTCAACGTCGACCGTGAGCTTATCGCGCATGGTATCTCCAATGCCTTGTCAGGCTTTGCAGGAAGTATCCAAGTATGCATCTGCTACCAAATCAACTCTTTTGTGTCCTATACTGATGAAAATAGAATTACCTGGTCTATACGAACAGCCTGCTGTTCATCGCGAGCGGAGGTAACCACCGTTTAGCTGGCATAATGCTCGCCGCCGGAACCTTTGGAATCCTGCTAGCTGGTCCGGGGCTCATTGGTTATATTCCAATCCTGGTTGTTGGATCATTGATATACATGCTAGGTATAGAGCTTATGGAAGAGGCCTTGGTGGACACTTGGGGGAAGCTGCATAGATTGGAATATATGACCGTGAGTTTCATGGACTTGAATCGCCATGCCATCTGAGAATCTAACGCCGATGATAGGTAGTTATCATTGTCGTCACCATGGGTGCATGGGACTTTGTTACGGGCATCGTGGCCGGCATCTTCCTCGCGTGTCTCAATTTCGTCGTTCAGGCTTCTCAAAAATCCGCAATTACGGGAACTTACACAGGACAGGTTGCTTATTCCACTGTACGGCGGAATCCATTGCATGTCCGGTTTCTCAAAGAGGCTGGGAGGCAAACATTCGTGATCAAGTTATCAGGATTTCTCTTCTTTGGCACCATTGTCAGCGTTGAAAAGCAGGTGCGCTGGTTAATCGAAGGAGAGGTATTCAGCCATCGCCCGATCCGGTTTCTGGTATTAGACCTCTCGCACGTCAAAGGTTTGGACTTCTCTGCTGCGGAGGCATTCACTCGATTGAATCGGATGCTGCAAGCGAGAGGGGTGCACATTATCATTTGCGGCGTCGATGTAGCCGGCGAAGTCGGCAGAAGCCTGCGAAATGTCGGCTTGTTCGAGCAGGAAAGCAACGTCCGTGTTTTCGAAAACCTCAATTCTGCGCTTGAGTATTGCGAAAACGAACTCTTGCAGGCGTTGCATGATCGAAAGGATGCTATGGCAGGGGCTAGAGTCGAACCATCACCGCTTAAACGTACGCATCCCTGTTTGATACATATTCCACATCATTTCTAATTATTCTCTAGAGATATTCAAACCGCAAACATCAGAGCTCCCCGTCAATTCTCCTCGCCGGTACTACCTCCACCAACTCGCTGCCAACACCCTCCGCGAAGAAGCCGCCTCCCCGCCCTCCTCTTCTCCGCCAACGGGCAAACCCCACCACCCGCCTCCCCTCCCACTTCTCATGCACACCTTCCAAGGCCTAACGACCAAAACCGAGGACTTCTGGGCTCCCGCAGCTGCCTTCTTCACGCGCGCCGAGTATCCGGCCTCCAGCGTGCTCTACCGCTCCGGCGACTCCGCACACTACTTTTATCTCCTGGAATCCGGGATGCTCCGCGCAGAATACGATACGCCGCAAGGGCACTATTTTGAGCTGGTTGTTGCGGGACGACCCTGTGGAGAGTTACCGTTCTTCGGGGGGACGAGGAGGACGGCGACAGTGAGAGCGGAGACGGGCTGCGTGGTGTGGATGATGGGGGAGGAAGGGTGGAAGAGGCTGAGTGAGAGACATGGGCAGGTGGGATTGGAGATGATGAAGGTTTGTCTGAAGTTGACGGCGGAGAGGATGGAGAGTATCACATCGTATGTTTTTATTTCCCCGTTTTGCGTTTTCTTTGCTTGGTGTCGGACTGGGGCTGACTTTTGTTCTAGGTATGTGCTCACGGCTACACGATGATATTTGTCGTATTTTCAGCGTATCTGGGCTGCTTTTGCAGGAAAAGTAAGGGGAGGAAGCGTGTTCCTTGTGTGACTATATAATGATCATGATGTGTATGAATAGGCTATTGTACGGATGGGATATGTACAACAAAAGACTACTTGAGATGAGAGAGCAGACCAACTCCTCGATTGACAGAATCTAGTAGTTAAATATCAGTGGATTCCAACTATTTTCCCCTTGAATCTGGTTCGGTTCACGGTCCGCTAACTAGCTATCCATGGAACCCTTCACTAAGTCTCCAAACCTACTTCAACCACAAATTTGGGCTATTGACCTTTCAGTATACATTTACGTATATCAACAACGGGTTGGCACAGCCTTCTGTCCATTATCTTCCCATTCAGGGGCTCCTTCCAGGTGGGAGGTGTTGTCCCCGGGCCGACAAATCTTCCACGACAGCCCTTTGCCCCAAACACAACCGTGATGGAGGAACGAACTATGCACCTGTCAACCGTTCAGTTGAAGTTGCTGTCCTTTCGCATTTTATTGCGCTACGTGATAATAAACTGCCTTGACTCCCAAGTATGACGAGCTCGAATGCGACTTCTGATGACCGCATGCTGTGTGCATATCTGCGGAAACCCCCCAGGAAGCGCCGGCGAAGCGACAAGGAACCATCAGACGGACGGCCATATGGCTTGTTAAAACAACGCAGACAGACCTTGCGCGGGACAGAGGCTGCTGAACCCTTGACGCAGACGGCGCTAACCACAGCTGCACTAGAGGAACATAATCGCCAAACACACACGGGAACGAAAAGCTCTCCCAGGATCCAACCACCTAATCACAGCCCCCCTACACAATCGTTTCTTGAGATGATTCGGGAACGCAGCATCGAAGGTGGTCCTGATCTGTCTGATCTCAGAGGTGTATGTTGCTACTATTACGCGAGGGCTTGCTGCTAATAGGTTCACGCTAGTATCCGTTCCCGGAAGGCTTCATGATCGATGCAGGAACATCCACTTCGGACGCCATGCTCCCGCGACGGCGTGTATATCCGTCACTGGCAAGCGGGGTTATAAAGGGCACCGATAGTACGTCGGTCTATAGTCAGAATTTCGTGCTGAACCTTATTGACCACGGTATCAACCCTATCGGAACAACGATGGAAATACCGAATAATTGGAGGGAGATAAATAAACGGGTTATCCGTCGGCGGCCTTCTCTGTCACTTTCAAAGTTTACAAGGGCGGACTTTGAGAGATTCGTGCAGGCAGATGTATTTGCGTCGAAGACGCAGCATCTGAGGTCATCGGTAGTTCCGCTGATTGAAGGTAATACTGGAGACGCAAGCTGCGTTCGCAGCGGATGTCCACTTGAGAATCTTGCTCCTTTAATAGACGGGACATCAACAGCCCACCCTGATGTACTTTATGGTGCTCACCCTGAGGATCTTGATCCGCGAATTCGCAGGGATCTCAACGACAAAATCATTCCTTTCACCCAGCACGCTCTCCCAGTGCTACCAAATTTCTTCTTAGAAGTGAAAGGGCCCGGTGGGACCTTGATAGATCTGACGCGGCAAGCTTGTTACGACGGTGCACTAGGTGCCCGAGGTATAAATTGTCTTCAGTCCTACAAGCGTGCCAGACAAGTCTATGACAACAATGCATATACCGTCACAGCAATATACCACGGTGGTTTGTTGAAGTTATTCACAACCCACCTGTCTGCTCCGAAAGTCAAAGGTGGCGAAGCTGAGTATATCATGACCCAGCTTAGAGCCTTTTGTATGACGGATGAAACCCAATTTCGGGAAGGAGCAGCTGCATATCGAAACGCGCGGGATTGGGCCAAAGATAAAAGAGACGAGCTCATCAGGGCCGCAAACGAACGGCTTATCGGGTCCCAATCTGGCAGCGATTCCGACAGGACTGACTGCTGTGATGTGAGAATCAAAGTGTCTAAAGTCTTGAAGAGTTCGAAGACTGGCAAGCCCTTGCCGAACTGAACTCTCAAAGGACATGTATTTTGATATGTGAGATATAGCCTTTAGCCCAACAGCAGAGTTGGGGAACTCTACAGATGCGGAGTAGAGCAGCAGCGTTAGTTTTACCCTTACATTTCCTTTTAGAGAAATGTAAGCTTTGAATTTCTTCTTTGATATTAACTTCATAAACTAACCACTAACGCACTGAATAGAGTCTTTGCATAAGGCCAGACAAGCACAAGCGAAATATCAAACGAGGGGATTCTCTAATTTACTTCAAGACAGAGCACTTTTAAACTTGCGTGTTTCGGTATCACTGCTTGCCCCAGCTTTGCTGGGGTGAGTATCGGGCGTTTTACTAGTCACTAGACCATCTGTTTGGCCGAGAGCATCGTTCTTCTGAACTTAGATCTCGAGAAACGACTTCAGGCATAGTGAGACTTTTGTCATTCATTGTGGAAGAGGCATGATCTGTGTTCTGGGAGCGATGGTTAAATGACGAGGGCGAATCTGGTAGTTAGTGATGCAAAGTGTTTGATGCTTGGCAATATGGATGATGCTCTCACGGAAGCTTCTGTCAATCCAGAATTCCGGAGATATCTCTATAAGGTGCTTTCCTATGTGGCTCAGTTGATCAAAGATATGAGGCCGAATGTCAATATCTAGCTTCTAGATGGTCATATAGACGCCATTATGTACGGGTATGTCGAGACGGGCTAGGGAACGCGGAACAAACGGTCCACTTATATATATATATATATGTCTAGCCAACAAAAACAGCAAAAGAATAACCTTGCTTTGCGCATGCAAGCACTATCTGCAACTTAGAAGTCTATCAACATTAGCACATATAACCGTCAGGCAAGGTCACCGCTGAGGCTTACTTATTGAATTTCCCGCATATTTACCACATCGTCGGCATCGGCTCGCTTCGTGTTACCCTTATTATAGCCGCGGAGCCGCTCAAATTCAAGCCTGCGTCTACTGTCGACTTGAGAATTGGCTTCGGCCCGCTTCCAATTAGTTGCAGTATCGGCATCGGATCGCTCTGCAAGGACATCTGCGCACGACATAAGATTTTCGCTTAGCACTCGAAGCCCTATTGTTATACACAATCGAGCTTACCTGTCTGAAAGGGTGCCGCAAGACCAATTGCCGGAAACAAGGCAATAAATGCAAGGAACGCTTTTGGCTGCATTTTTATCTGATTTCGGCACGAATTTCAAATGTATATACTTGACGGTTTAGTTCTGGTCGATATGATCAAGAGGCGAGATGGTTGGAAATATTTCGAGGCTGACAGTGCGGGCTTTATGATAGATATCAAGCCCTCGAGACAACAGTGACTAGATCCCCATTCCCGGTCGACCGGCACTCCCGATCTGCATGCCCAGCTTGCTTTGGCTGCAGCACCGCTTTCACGAACTTTGGTTTGCTGTCGGAATCGAAGTTGCTAAACAGCGCCTGGATCTTGAGAGGCCGATCGACAAGAACGGTGTTTTCTCCTCAGGAAGTCATCGGATAGGAAGCTGGGCGGGTGAAACACACGAGGCTTGCAGAAGTGCACGGTTGGTTTCGCTGTACGACCACAAGGCATGCAGAGCAGGGCATCGACATGAAAATCACTCCACCATGCGAGAATGTTGTGCCGTTGTTTTTGCACATGTATGAGCGCCAATTGTTCTCTTTCCACCGTCTTCCGTCATGGATAGGCAGCAAGGTTGATTATACCATACGGCTCACCAGTAAAGAAGAGCCCAAGGGCAATTGACATTGTGGTGCATTGCATACTGTAACACCCAGCCGACTGAGGCGTGATTATCTCGGAGCAACGTGGCATATAGATCCATATACAGTGGTCCTAGAGGACACTGACTCCATGCTTTTGGGCAAAGACAGGATTCGACTGAAGCGTCTCAAATCCAGGCAGATGCTAATTCGGATGATACATCGTTTCATTGACCGTGCTGCTTATGTTGGTCGATCATAGTTATGTGGCTCCAATACAATCCCATTAGCCATACCAGCTTCCAAATTCTGGGGGAAGAACAAGGCCGGAACCATATTGTTGGACCGGGGCAGCACTGCTTCGTTATTGTTCTATTCTGCGAAAAGTGGCAACGGTACCGGAACCCTTCTACGCTAAATTTATCTGCTCTTATCCAACATTTAAAACGGGCGTCTGACCGGGTTGAGATATATCAAAATGGACGCTTGTCAAGGGACCAGACCTCCAGGGGAACACCGAAACCAACGAATCTGATATGATCGTCTGAATTGAATTTCAAGTAAGAAGAGTCATAAATCCCTTGATCTTCGCTTTTAACGAGTTTACCATCAGCGGTTGAATCTATCAACAAAGACATCTATACAACTAACTACAGATATCTCCAACATGATTCCGTTGCACCTTGTGCTTGAATTTACCTTTGGTTCCATGGCGCTGGCTCCATTGTGTGACGTTAATGCCATTTGGATCAACCCCAGTTCATGCATTTTGTGGGATGCAGGAGGATGTGGTCTTGCATCAACCATCATTGACGGTCCTGCTTAGTATTGGCGCGGGTTCCGGATCTGCAGTTGGCATGCGCTCTTTTCCAGTATTTATTTTTTGCGCCTTTTTCGCGTCTTTCCAGAGACGGCAAGAATATCAGCAGCCCGGCGCTCGGAGTTGCTGATGATCAGAAGAATGAGACATTTTCTCCGTTGCTGCATTCGGCGCTCTTCCTAGGGCCTGCTCTGGGCCTAATCTTTGGAAAGGCCGATCACCAACACAATCGGCTGGAAATGACTTTTTATCGATACTTGATACTATGAGAGTACTGAGCGCGTTTGGCTTTTCCTTGAGCCACAAGGACAAAAAGTCCTTCGCTCAAAAGCAGCAAAACAGGCAGAGCAAGTCCGCTTAAACCAATTTGATACTTGGAACCCATCCAATCCCGCAATGCCTCTTTCATATTTATGGCATATGGTTCTGGCATATTATACCTGAGCCCAAAACTTTGCCTCTCCACGGATAGGGAGGCACCGGCAGTCAGTTTCTGCCGGGTTACATCTGGTTATTAGGTCAATCATCAGCACCGAAATCAGAGCCCGCATAACGGGTTGGATGTGGAAAGGTTTTGACACAGCCGAAACAGGTAATTACGCAGCTTCCGAGCACCGCTCTCTATTGACGATATTACTCAATAGGTACTGGTACTATCATGGACGACCCAGAACAACAACAGCATAACGTTCAAGTACCATGTTGCATCGGCAAGCGGCAGCCAAATTCTGTGGAGCATTTTTTCATCCTGTTTCAAGTTCCTGCGTCGTACGGATTGCCGATGCCCTCCTATCAATATTCTCACGACGCCCGTGTCCGAAAGGCTTTTGCTTCCCACGACGTAACGCTTGCGACGTATATTGCTTTCCTCGATGGCGCAGCTCCGAGAAACTTCGCGGCTCTTCAGCCATGCTCTAACGCGGTTTGAGGTTTCTAGGCGCTGTCGAGCAAGACTGACTCCTCCTCCTCTGGAGAAGAGTTCGGCATAATGTCCGGGGAAAGGGCCTCGTGCTAACACATGTCATCAGTTGAATGGTCAATCTCAGGCCGGGCGCAAAGTGAATCGGCACTCTTCAACGAGGCAGCCAACCGAACTTCTAGTGAGAGCTTTGGCGGCGCGCCGGGCACTCACAGGCCCCTTTGAGATAGTAAAGCATGTGCACGGTCCTATATATCCGTTTGAACGACCGGAGATGGAGATATTCACTTGCGGAAATACTGTGCCGGTCTTACCTCTCATCTTGTTGCAAAGGCGCTGCTAAAAGCTTGCAGATTCCGTTCTGATGGTCGTTGCTGATCCGGGTTTCCTCGGGCAGGCAGGTTTCGCCTACAATATGGCACCTGCTGTGGAGGTTTTCATATATCTGACAGTAGTACGATAGGGATAGCCCGGCATTGGTTGCGATGATCACGCAGATACAACTAAATCGAGCCCGTGCGCTTATGGTCGTCTTTCCCCAAGCTTCTAAATTGGAATGCGGGCATGGACAGCCTAGGTAATCGATGCTTTGAGAGATGCTGCCGCAGCAAAATGAGTCCTCAAGGCCAGCCAACAAGCTAGCTATAGAGCAATGTTTGCACGCAAGTGGACTTGTCAGCTACGATGCGTATTCTACCTATGGACATGGGCTCTTACTATTATGGTTTCGAGGGACTGCTGCGACTCTGCACTCAATTCCAAGTATCTATATCAAGCAGGAATCTGGCTCTTCGTGGTCAAAAAGATCGCGGCACGCCGTGTCTCCAAAAGCATCTGCTGCCCACGGATCATGAAGGCACAAGGGTGTGGATTCTCCAGAGTGATGCTGTATCAAAGGGCTTCTTCAAATGGACTCTACATTGATCAGCTACGCAGGTTCATATGGGATAACTCCCGAGCAGGCTATTCTACGATCCGCGATAGTCTTAAGCTTTCGAGAGTATGAATCTTTTGGAAAAGTTTTCTGATGATGGATTGCCTGCCGCGAGAACGAAGATGAATCGCGACGCCCTTTCCGGCAAAACAGGCGAGTCATGGCTATCTGTTACCGTATCTTCCTGAGGCTGTACGCGATATTAATGCTTTTCGCGGTAGTAAAAGGGAAACCTGGTCCGGCTGTAGACAAAGCCTGGCATGATCTACTAAGGTGGTAAAGAGCCGTTTCCTAAAAATCCCCCCGGCTTTTGTCAGTATCACCCTCAGAACCCTTTCATTTCTAGAGAGCACTGTTATCGAACCCGAGTACTTTTATTAGCGAGGCGGAGAAGGCAATGGGGTTAGGGCTCTGAACAGTGAGGGGTACTTGATATTGATGAAGAGCACTGCATTGATTGCCTTCAGCGATCGTTCATGTGCCATTGGGGATGTAGGCCTTGTTACTTTCCAGTGGGGAGACCATCCTCCGATTCCGTTTGCTATCATCACGACTCGTCAATGTGTTATTTGGGAGAGATTAGCCTGGGTGGATGAAAGTATGCATAGTTGATATGATGAAGCCAGGGAGGCTGGTTCATCAGATACTAGATGAAGGTCTCGTCTCAAGCTGTGTGGCTTGAGCAACATATGCTATATTAATTGATGTGCTTCATGTTAAGTTGATGCCTGCATCTCATGTCGTTTGGTCTTGTTTATAAATCCTCTAAATCTTCGACTTTTTACTATTGGACAGAAGTCATTGTTATAACACCATTTGCAGAGGGGAAACATAAGAGAGAGAGTTGTGAAGATTGTGTGACTCATGCTGCTCAGGCTCTGCTTGAACTTCAGACTGTACTCTATAGAGAAGTTGGTTATTCCTTTCCCATGGTAACAATTGTTGCTCTTACATCTCTGCATAATGGTGTCAAAGTCCCTTGCACATCATGTCGCCCCTTTTGCCGCCAACAAGTAAGTTTGAGTGGGCTCCATAGTCCATCTCAACGAACAGTTGCAGAAAAAGGATGCCACAAAGGATCCACACAAGCTGGCACGTCAAACTTTCACAGGCCATGAGATGTCGAGCTCCGTCCCCACAACCAAAATTTTGAAGAAAATTTTCCCTCTGGCCTTCACAGGGAAATTAAAAGACCATCAAGTTAGGTGGAGTGGTAGATAGGATTGCGCTGAACTAATATAAAGAATTGACCTGAAAAGAATGGATCCATTATTGTTCTGAGCAGTTCATCCAGCATTGCGTATCTGTTATTATCAAAGCTTCCATGGTCGTTTTTCTGCACCTGTCGGGAGCAATCCTTGGGACACCGTGGGTCCTGGCGCTGCAGATATCGTCCCCACTCGACGACAGGGGATGGATGAAGCTTCAATATAGCAGAGCATCCTAGCAGCGGGGTGCGGTCATATTTTGGTTGAAGCGAGGACAGGCGAAGGTCCTTCATTTTGGAAGCGGACTGAGGCCTGTGTAAGATTTGCCGTCGGGCCAGTCCCAGCTGCAATATGAGAAGTTGAGATGCAAGACGAACTCTCAGCAGTGTTCACAGCGATGCCAAGACCCCTGATCCAGACCGAGAGTTGAATGAGTTATGTCATCAGGCATATGTTCGAATCCACCAATCATATATCGGGGTTACACACCTCCATTCTTACTCATCCACAAGAGACCCCCTTTTCATTTCGTCCGCTTTGAGTCTAGAATTCGACCAGGCAAGTTACGCAATTTGAGCGAGAGGAATCCAGCAGAGCGGATGAAAATGATGTGGAAGGACTGTGTGATTGAATCAAGACGAGAGGGTAAAGGACCCCACATACTTTGTTAATAACTTGCCAGAAGCATCGATAGAGGAAAATGGCCTTCTCCCCGGCAGTTTTTCGGCAAAGTAGTCTTGCATTCAACTGGAGAAGTTATCTTTCGATAAATGGGACATGCTGATCCCTCAGCACTGTTCCTACCTACTCTTTGGTAATGCCCTGCCCAGCAGCCTCGGATAATGGCTTCATGATACTCAAATGAGAAGTACCTGTAGAATTTTCTGGATAGCCGGGTGGTCAAAGTAAGTTTTGTTTGCACATGACTGGTGTTGGCTTTCAGAAGGGCCGATGAACTGGGTTTGCATTAGCATCAAGAAGCAGAAGATGGGCCTTCTGTATGGAGTACCCCGTACCTGTGCTTTTGTTTCCCAGCTCTGGCGATTCTGCATCCCAGACAAGACAGCATTAATAGCAAGACAAAGTCGATGGTCCGACTCGGGAATCGGCACCCATCCGCGTGAGATGGCTAGAGAACTCCGGCGAGAGCAACAGGGGAGCCAGCCTGCTTTAATCAAAACAGACCCTGTGAGCAACCCCCGCCGAACGTCCCGCTTAGTAATCCATCTGGACATCGATGCCAAGACTGGCGGATCAGGTGCCATGTCACATGACCGGCCCCTGCGCGCTGATTCGCCGCGCTGGAGGAGTCAGCAGCAGCAGCAATCCATCATGTGCGCTGTGGCCTCACGGCTCAACCACGGCCGATCGTGGGTGGGGTGCATACCGACCAGGCCCAGGGATGACCCTGACCTCTCTCAAACAGAACTGCCCATGAGCTTAACCCTGCCAGCAACACCCTTGCGCCGTGTGTCCCCCCGGGCCAGATCAAAGGGAGTCTTGTTGCGAGCAGAAGTCGGTGGAAGCCATGATCCCGCTCCCAAAGCCGGCGGTTTTGCCCACAGAGACTATCGTATGAGAGCGAGGTGCGTAATACAGGCCCAGACGGAAAGTTTGGGTTTTGCGTGCAGCCCGTAAAATACAGCGACCCAGCTCCAAAGTAGAAAGTCCCGTCTCTAGTGTTGATGTGAGACAAGTTTCATCTCCCTATCAGAGCTTGTCTTCAATGCCCTGGCGGGTGATTTGTTGGATGGCCAGCGGGAGAGAGCAAGTCTGCCCTGGACAATTGGCCTGTCCTGCCCGTGGCCCCTGAGCCGCGATTGTTGGCCGACGCCGGCGCAGAGTGCACAGTACGGCCATCTCCTGCAGAGCTTCCCCCTGTTGTTGTCAAATACAACCAACGGCCGCTGTCATGCCCGTACCGCTTACGTATTGAGCGGCCCACTTTCCAAACAAGGTGACCGCTAGGGCGCGATTGGCAGCTTCTGATTGGCCGGGAGGCCACTCAACAAGCCCAGAACGTCTTACTAGCGGATCAGCTGGTCGTCTCCCTATTTTCCAGCCACACACCCCGTTTCCCACCCCCCGTTTCGATTTATTACCGCCCTCCCTGCCTTTTTTTTTCTTTCTCCTTCTCCTCTCTTCTCTTCTTCTTCTTCATTCTCTTCAGCTTCAGCAGTCCCTTTCTGCCAGCACCCGACATTGATACCCCTGTGCTTCGTTGCTTCTTGTCGAGCTCGCCTGTATTTATTTCCTGATACCATTCTTCTTTTGCTTGAGATACCCAAGATACCCATATTGCGCCAGATACCCCCGTACTATTTTAATATTTGACAGTAATAGCTTGAAGAGCTTAGGTCCTCACTTCGGGAACACACGATCCAACTCAGCACCTATAACTGCTTAACCCTATTCGCTGTCAACCATTTTCAATCAACATGTCGGAAGCTCAGAAACCCGCCGAGGAAACCCCCGTTGTGCCTCCTGCTGCGGAGCCTGTCCCAGTGGCCGAAGCTCAGGCACCAGCGACGGAGACTACTGCCCCAGCCGATGCCCCCGCCACAGAAGCTCCCACAGACGCTCCCGCTGAAGCTGAGGAGCCGCCAAAGGAGGAGCCAAAGGCTGAGGTGACTCCGGCTACTGATGGCGTCCTCGGTTACAAGGCACCTGGATTGGTCAAGTGAGTTTTGAACAATATGAGGTCAATACTGTATTGCATATCTGACATTTCTCCCCTAATCTAGGAGTCTCCGCTTCTCCAAGCGATACTTTTGGTTCAGCGACGATGCTGTGGAATCCCGAAATCTTACCACGTATTTGCAAAACGAGAAGTTGAGCGTCGCCCATCCAACTGCCGCTTGGGCTAGTCAAACTGGAAAAGGCCTTCTTTTCATCGCCAAGCGTGCTGAGGACAAGGCTCATCCCACTGGCATAGTCAACTTGGTACGTTGTGGAGCAAAGGCATTTTGTATCGCAACCGGACACATAGTCTAATAACTCTGTAGGCAGAAGTTTCTGAAGTGGTCAAGGAGGGCACCAACGAGCTCAGCTTCAAGTGGAACGGCCATAAGCACGCTTTCCAGGCAACCTCAGCTGATGAGCGTGATAGCTGGTTTGTTGCCTTGGAGGCCAAGTCCGCCGAGGGCAAAGCTGAAAAGGAAGCCATTGTTGGTGGCGAGGGATACAAGGCTGAGTTGGAGAAATTCGGTATGTTTACATTTGGCTGACATTTGTCGGGTGAAGGCATCGCACTAACATGCTCTAGCCAAACCTGCAACTCCAACTACTACTCCTAGCTCCCCCAAGAAGAGCTTGGAAGCCAAGGCAAAGGAGGTTGTGAAGAAGGTCGAAGGCGAGGAGTCCAAGGCCAAGAGCCGCTCCCAGTCTCGCAAGCGCGCCAGCATTTTTGGAAACATCTTGGGCAAGAAGGATGAGGGTGACGCTAAAAAGGAGGAGCCCAAGAAGGAAGAGGCCCCAGAGGGCGAAGAAGCCAAAAAGCCCGAGGCTGAAGCTCCTGTCGAAGAACCTGCTCCTGCTACTCCTGCTGCTGAGGTTGTGGCCCCCGCCGACACTACTGAAGGTAACCACCCCACGCCCTTTTTGTTTCCCCGCTTGTGCGTTGACTAAGACATATGATAGCTGCTCCAGTTGCGGACGCCAAACAAGAAGAGCCAACACGGCCTGAGATTAAACCCAAGCGCACTTCTGTGTTCGGAAGCTTCTTGCAGAGGGTCACCCACCAGGGACAGCCCAAGGCTGATAAGGAGCCTGCTGCAAAGCCTGCAGAGACAACCACCCCCGTCTCCAGCACTGCTCCTCAGCTCGGTGACCCAGTCAACCCTGCTGCTTCTGAACCAATAAAGCCCGAGAGCGTAACCCAGCCTGAGCCAACCCCCGAAGCCGCCAAGACAACCCAAGAGGAGCCGGCTACTTCTCCGTCTTCTAACAAGGGCGGATTCCTCAACTTCATGAAAAAGGATAAGCTCGAGGTGAGCAACCCATTGTACCGGTATTGACTAGTTTTTAACAATCTGTTAGGAGAAGAAGGAAGTGAAACCCGAGGAGAAATCGGATAAGAAGTCAGAGGAAACGCCTGCTGCCGAAGAGCCAGCTACTACCCCTGAGCAAGCCACTGGCGCTACGCTGAAGGAGAAGCGTCGTACATCCTTTTTTGGAAGCTTCGGCACCAGGAAGGAGAAGAAGGTGGAGCCGGTTGAGGGTGAGCAGACCGAACCTGCTGAGCAGCCCA